CAATAGCAAGGTTTTTAGGGTTGTATAAAACACCTACTTAACAAGTGAAATAAAATTTAATTATCTTCAGTGTTATCCTCCATGAATTTGAAACTGTACCTATCGCTGCTAACGCAAAAAAGAAATATTTTTTATGTTGCGTTTTTTTTGGCACCTCTTACTTGCCAGGCTTTCTGGTTAATTTTTCGCTTTAGTTGTAAATTGAAGTTCGAAACGTTACTATTGTGTCAAAATCAATTTATTTACTGAATTGCAAAGGTATTGTCGGAAAGGCAACGCATCGAAATCTTGATATTGTTTGGATGTGGAGACAAAATAAGAAGTCAGGCTGAAGTGCGCGACTTATTTAATGCGAAATATCCCGAAAACCAAATCGCAAGGGACGGTGCAGTACAGACTTTGCCCAAAACTGGACGGGCACGTGCTTTGAATGAAGAAAATAAATTAGACATTGCATTAGAACTTGTTGAAAATCCTCATACTCCAACTGTTTCATTGGCCCGCAATCACGATACTTCTCGAACTGCAATTCGAATGTTTCTGAAACAAGAGAAATACCACCCCTATAAGGTATGTCTTGTCCAAGAGCTTTTGGAAGACGATTATGATAGGCGATTACAATTTTGTGAGGAAATGATGAGACTGTGTGACGACAATAATGGTTTTCAACGAGACGTACTTTTTTCGGATGAAGCTACGTTTTATTTAAATGGAGTGGTTAACAAGCACAACTATCGCTTTTTGTCCCAGGAAAATCCACACTGGACATGCGAATCGCATACGCAGCATCCACAAAAAGTTAATGTATGGGCAGGTATCATCAACAACAGAATCTTGGGCCCATTCTTTTTTGAAGAAAATCTTACTGCCGCACGCTACCTGGATTTCCTAACATTTAACCTGATACCTGCTCTAGCTGTGATTTTCCCTCATGAAATTGATCCAGATATACCGAATGAAAGAATTTGGCTCCCCCACATTTTGGTATTGATGTTCGAAGATACTTAGATGAAATGTTTCCAAATCGCTGGATTGGTAGACGGGGTACAGTTGAATGGCCGCCAAGATCCCCCGACTTAACACCCCTGGATTATTTTCTTTGGGGATATTTGAAAGGAAGAGTCTACCAGGACAGACCGGATAATATTGAGAATTTAAAGAACAAGATTAAGGCGGAGATGCATAATTTACCAGCTGAAGTCATTCAGAATGCTGTGGACTACTTTTACTATCGTCTTGGAGAATGCCAAATAGTGAATGGAGGACATTTTCAGCATTTGCGACATTGAGTTTATTTTTGTAAATTATCTAGTTTTAATTTCTAAATGAAAAAAAAAACTTGTTATTGAAAAAATAAAACTTGTTTATTTGGTATGGCTGGATTCGGTTTTCTATAAGCTTTTCAACGAACCCCCTCATGCCTTATGTTTCCATTTGAAAAAAAAGTAGGGGTAGCTGGGGGTTAGGGGGTTGAAGAAAAATTAATTATTATATAAACGAAAGATGGGAAAAAATCTAAATCAGTTAACGTGTTTCGGTGTTTAAAAAAAAATTTACTCATTCAAAAGATATGAATTTTATTCCGTACTTTTGGCCATCCCTGTATGTACATTTTTAATTAAAAGAAATACCTAAAACAACAAAATATTGTTAATTTAAAATATATTCTTATTTAAATTTACTTTTATCGACAAAATACAGTACCTATACTTCTAACCACTTTGATAACCAAAACAGGAAATTTTTCCTCATTATAACCTCATTTGAATTAAATTTGAGAAATTACATTTAAGTATGTCTAAAATTGTCATATCTTTACTTTCTTAATTAGTAGGAAGTTTGTTGTCATTATGATGGTCACGTATAAGTAATTTGATAAGAATACAGGGTGTCTCATCGGACACTGCGTCGATCGATAACTAGGAAAGCACTGCTTCGAAGAATTTTTTTAATTTATTTTTTATTTTATTTTATTTTATCACCACCCAACAGAAAATTCCATTTACAGGATGGGTAATAACAGAAAAATACAATGCATGTAATAACTAAATAACATAATACAAAAAAAAAGATGTATACTAACGTACTTAACCTAAATCACCATGAATATAATGCATGCTCACTCAATGATGTATTATTAGTTGACACGTTTGCAAATAGGTCCAAAGACTCTTGATGGTTATTATAGTAACTGCACATTTTGTATATAGGAGAGTATTTGAGAATATTCGTACGAGGAGATGATAAATAAAAACACATGCTTGGATGTTGCACGAGGAACATGAAAATATAAATAACTAATCAGATCACAGCTGTCTATAACACCCTGACATAACTTATAAAGAAAAGAAAGTGAGAATTTATCTCTTCGATCCTTCAATGACGATAGAGGAAATCTTTTAAGGAGATCATCATGAGGAAAACCAACACATGGATAAACATTATCCAATTTAAATGACAAAAATGTTTAGAATTTGCGTTGTACAAGTTCTATATTGTTAATATGTACATTGTAATGGGGATTCCAAATAAGGCACGCATACTCTAATTTGGAACGAACAAACGCAATATACAACAATTTTACACTGTTTTCATTGGCGAATTCACGACTATTTCGTATTATAAATCCTAGCATTTTATATGCATTGGCCAATAAGGACTGTGTATGATCGGTAAACGACAGATTGGAATCGAAGGTTACACTCAAGTCTCGAAATGTTGTTTCCCTGTTTAAAATTTGCTCATTTATGTTATAATTATATAATGTTTTCGTGGTGAATGTCATGACACAACATTTCTGTATATTCAAGTTTAAATTATTATTAGTGGACCACTCATATATTTTCGATAAATTTGAGTGTAATTTTAGGCAATTTTCAGTACACGCAATACTAGAAAAGATCTTCAAGTCATCCGCATACATCAGACAGGGAACATCCAAGTCATCCATAATGTCATTGACAAAAATATTAAAGAAGAGAGGACCTAATATGGACCCCTGAGGGACACCAGAAGGACTAATGTAATAAGAAACATATTGACCAGATAGGTAGGATTTAAAAAAATCAATTAAGGTGCTGGAGATATCGTAGTGGTTCAATTTGAACAGTAGCTTTTTATGATCAAGTCTGTCGAATGTTTTGAAGAATTGGAAAATTTGGCAACATGGCAATGTCTCTATGGCGAACACAATTAAAATATCTAGAATTTTCCAGCACTTCCGGTTGGTTATACCGGAAGTCGACACCAACTTCGTTATTTTTAATGGGAAACCCTATATATTATAGCATTTTCGTATTCTACGTGAATTTTGAGGGTCACTATTAAATATTCTCTATACCTAGGAGTTATAGATTTTAAGATATTGATTTTTAAAGAAAAAATTTGACAAATGCAAGAGTCCGCGGAGATGCTAGGAACTCTTTTCAGGAACGTGATATCAACCGGATTTTTGGTACCTGTAAAGGGCATAGGTAACGCTACATTATGGTACAACAACAAATTAAAACATTTAATACTAGGTCTTTCGTTTTTGCCGTTACATTTTAATAATTTCAAACAGCTATAATTTTGTTAACTTAAATGGAACACCCTGTATTTTACAGACATAACAATAATTTGACAACTAACTTGACAAAGGTCAAGTTATTTTAATTGTTTTGTAGTGTTTCTGGTCATGACCAATTTGACAAAAGGTCTGATACGAGAAAAACTGTCCAAAAAATAGAAAATTGCAATTATCCCTAAAAGTAGTAACGGAACCCCTAACAATGCTTATATGGCTTCAAAGGAAATTTCAAGCTGCATACGACAGAGTAAAAAAATATAGGGTGTTACATTTAAGTTAATAAAGTTATAGCTGTTTGAAGTTATCAAAATGCAACAGCAAAAATGAAACAAGTAGTATTAAATGTTTTAATTTGTTGGTATACCATATTGTAGTGTTACCTATGCCTTTTACAGGTAGCAAAAATTCACTTGACATCACGCTTGTGAAAAAAGTTACTAGCATCTCCGCAGATTCTTGCATATGTCAAATTTTTTCTTTAAAAATTAATATCTCAAAATCTATAACTCCTAGGTATAGGCAATATATAATAAAGTGACCCTCAAATTTCACGTAGAACCCGAAAATATAATAATAATATAGAGGGTGTCCCATTTAAAATAACGTTGGTAGCGACTTCCGGTATAATCAAAAGTGCTGGAGAGTTCTAGATATTTTAGGTGTGTTCGTCCCAGGGACATTACTATGTTGCCAAATTTTTAAAAATTTTTGGAGCAATACTTTCCTAGATATCGATCGACGCAGTTCCCGGTGTAACACCCTGGTATGGTAGAAAATTTTATTTGAAAGAAAAAAATGTATATAAGGTATTTTCTGTCTTTTCGCCATTCCATATTACAGGGAATCAAAGAAAGTTCATTTAAAATTAATTTACTCATACTCAAAAAAAATCTCAGAGTAAAAGTTGTAGGGATTTTAAAAAATTAATACACGTTAATAGGCAGATAAATAAATACTTAGACCAGAAAAGAACAACATTTCAAAGATATATCGTATGTGATATCTCTCAGTTTTCGATTGTGATATACATTTTAAAACAAACGGTATTTAATTATTTTTCAGATTGTGACATTATTACTAAAATAATCCTAAAACATAATATGTTTAGCGTAAAAACAAGATTATATATGTTTGTCTTGTCATTGCTGCGAGAAACAACTACTCCGAGAGCTATTTGCCCCTACCGACATTGAATTATACTCGCAACACCTAGTGCAACAGCTAGGATCGTTTGTCATCAATTTACCCACCAGGCACAGTCCGGTTTCAGACTTATTAGTCCTCATCAGTGTGTCATAGGTGTGACAACCGACAAACGACCCAGCTGTTCTTCGTCGTATCATCACGAAGAGGAAATACATTGTACGCGGGAGCCAATGGCAAAAATTACATTCTCCTTTTCTATGAACAACAAGATTAAAAACCACAAGACTGATTGTACCAATTTATTCACGCATATGATTTTGTAACACATAACAGTATATCCCAATGTCCAATAGCGTCGTTTTTAATAAGTAAACAATTTATTTGCAGTAGCCAGCTACCCATCCTGGTTGCTTGTGACAAAATCCTGAACAACAATTACCTTGACTTCCGTCAGGTTGGCAACCGTCACGATTTTTTATGCAGGCGTAGGTATCTTGAAGCCCGAGAAGGACAAGGACAGCCATGAACAAAACGCCGAAGAACTTCATCTTGATTGACTAGTTGACAAAAATGTATCTGTAAAAATGGGTAGATAAGAAAAATATGTCGCAAATACTTTTTTTCTTTCCGCGTTGATGAAACAGTGCCATCGATTTATTTATTATTCTTTGGATTTGTACATTTATAATTTGGTAATTCCAATAAAATCAAGGTTAACATTGTATTTTTCATCATTAGTAAACAGAGTGAAAATAGGAACTAACCAACTGTTATTATTTGTAAACGCATGTGATTTGACGCACACCAAATTAAATCTTAGTATGAGATTAATAGTATGCTTTGATAATGCTAAGAAGCCAAACAGATCTGGGAAACTAGAAAATTATTCAGTTAGTCACAGGATAATTTACGTCCCTACAGGGGAACTAATACTTCTACAGCACTGCGTTGCCAATGCATTAATGCAGAGTTGAATGGAAGGCACAAAAAGGGAACACCTGCACGAAGGCAAGTTAAAAAGTTCTTAAAAAAAACTATTAAAATTGTTAATGGCGAATTTACCGATCGAAAATTGTAGATCAATAAGGATTAACAATGAAACTGATAATTTGCTAATGCAAGAAACATTTAAGTAATTGTTGGTGTAATATAGACCATGACCTGTGCAGGTTCTGGTGGAAGATGGAGGTGACAGTAGGCATATATTAGGTTGATGCATAAGTTTGTAATGTTTTGGTTTTCACTGTGAAAAAGCCTTGGAAATTAGTTCTTAGACATTTCAGTATTATTTTAATGACATACAATTGTTTAACCGAATAGTCTTGGGACCTCTAAATTTGTATAAAGATTGTGTAAATGATTTGCAGAAGAAAATGAAATAACAAGAAGAAAAAACGGGCATTTCGGACATAGCCTTTGGATTGAGCCTTTGGTAAAACTGATGGTATGCATCTGGTAAAACAAAGAAGGCTATGAATTGCTTAAAAAAATGTTACTATCACTGTTGAGGTTTATTGTCGACAACTTTGTCCGAAATTTAAGAAAAAACGAAGAAGATATCGAGTAGTAAATTCCGCTTTTATAATCACGAAAGCATCACGAAATGGGATAGTCATAGGCTCGGTTGGGAGGTTATCCCACATCCGTCCTATTTTACTAACCTTGCTCCATCAGATTTCCATCTCTTCAACTGATTTTGTGAATTCTTTACCGGGTTTCTTTAGACACGTATACAATAGTAGAACTGTTAGATCTATGGAAGGCAGTATAAACAACAAAGGGGAATATATTCTTGATTAGCTCCTATATTATTTCTTACAAAAAATTAAAATTTGTATTCAATAAAAGTGCTACTATTTCTTACAAAAGATAAAGCAATTTTTCACAAACTTTCTGCATTTTCCAAAAATATCTGTCAACAAAACAAATACAATAGAAAAACATAACATTGTTTCAAGTATTCTAAGCAATCTTTAGGTAAAAAGTTATTTTGAAGGCCCATGATTAAAAAAAAACAAATAGATTAAGGTAACTGATTTGAACCGACTTATTTTCAACCATGGAAGTTTATTTAAATGTAGCCAGTTCCTTGTATATAAAAAATGCAATCTACAGTAGAAAATGGATTAATTCAATTCATAGAAGGACAATAAATTACCATATATTTTTTCAAAATGAATAAAGGTGTTGCGTTTATAGTGAAACACCCTTATATCTCTATAAACATTTTTGAATTGTAGGACTAAATCCGCTAGACAACCAAGTTAAAAGTAAGAAATTGTAAATATAATGAATAAACATACAAACGTGTACCATTTCTGGAATAGAAAAAACAACTCACTTGAGAATGTAAATTATACACGTGTTAATCACAACGTTTGTAATATACTATTGCCCTTACGAAATAACATAGGTAATTATAATAAAGCTATATACTTACTTGACTTTTAAAAGTGGCTTTATTGGTACTGTTAATATTCGAGAACAGCAAAGTTCTTTTATGTGGTATTGTAAGTGTTCCCCACTATGGACAAGTTTAATGACACTAATTCAAGTAAATGTTTATGTTATACAAAATGCATTATTCCAGGTTTTCCCATAGATTGTCACCTGGGTAGACAGTTAACGTATAGCATGATAAGATTTCCGTATTACGACAATGTCATTTGCATTAATGATCCCTGGGTAATTAGTAATAATAATAACAATAAAAAATAAACAATATTTATGTATTTACATATGTAACAGTTCCTCGGAACTGTTTCCCAAAATTGTAGTTACATTTTTGTTTAATTGTAATCACAGTCGTCACATGTGGGTCAGTTTTTAATTATATTTTTTTTATCTTCGACTGTTTGGTATTTTTAACATCAAAATCGAAAACTTCAGAGTATTCTAGATTAAAAAGATACCCTTGTCTCGAGGGGCTAGGGGGTACCATATACGAGAAAAATCTATTTGAAATGGTTTTGTTTCTTTTTGCACTAAAATTACAAATTCTTTGCTAATATTTAGCCTTTGGAAAACAGATAGTGTAAAATTTTATAAAACAAATTTGGATCTTTGTATTAAATAATTTCACAAACTGGCAAAAATTATGACAAGAAAACGATTGAAAAAAGTTGAAGATAAAAAAAATATAAATAAAAATATTGGCTTACCCTCCTAAATGTGACGCCTATGGTTACAATTAAAAGATGAGTTTCACATCAAAAGGACAGCCTTTATAAGAATTAACCCATAACCGAGGTTTGTTCCTTTTTGAATTCAAAAATAAAACAATGTAAAAGGACGGGCGATCTCGAAAGAGCTCTACCTTTTTTAGAAAGCATTTTTGGATAAGTCGATTTATGTCAAATCGATATGAAATTCAAGTTCACATTCAGTTGCATTTTTCATTGCTATAATTTAACCACAACGCAACTGGGAATGCCACCTATTCAGCGTGCTTTCCAGAAACTTTCCTCTTCGTAATGATACGACGAAGAACAGCTGGGTCGTTTGTCGGTTGTCGCACTTATGACACACTGATGAGGACTAATAAGTCAGAAACCGATCTGTGCCTGGTGGGTAAACTGACAAACGATCCTAGCTGTTGCACTAGGTGTTGCGATTATAATTGTAAGATTCGATCGACTTACCTGTAAGGAAGATCAATCTCAATTATTTGAGCATCGTAGTCCTTCTATGATTCATGTTGGTAGGTCTCACTTATACATGACGCGCGCACAGGTTTGAAGGAAAAAAGTGTTTCGTAACAGTCCGTTACTACTTATTGATAGCCAGCCAGTTCATTTTGTGACCGAACCAATCGCGCTGTGGGTAAAAAAAAAGAGTGGCGGGTGGGCCCCATCATAGAAGAACTACGATGCTCAAATAATTGAGATTGATCTTCCTTACAGGTAAGTCGATCGAATCTTACAATTATTTGAGCATCGTAGT